GTTGGGGTGGGGGGATAGCTATGCTGTAAACTTAGCAATACATAACTAGGTTAGAGGGAGATTATTCTCAGTGGTAAATAGCTCTAATAGCTAGATTGCTTTTGTTAGTAGATAACAGGGAGATGGAGCTGGTAGCCAATGTACTAGCCAGGGTCATAAGGGTGTAATCTCAGAACCTCACCAGAGTATGTGTGTAAGTAAGTAAAGACCATAAATGTAAGCCATTATTTCAAGGTCGATGGCGGGCCGAGAAATTTGCCCCAACCCTTTAAGAACAGAAAAAACTCTAAAATGCCACCCTGCAATTAATGAGAAATCGCCACCCTTGGAGGTGGACCACCCTCTTCCCTTCCCACCCCTCCTCCGCTACGGGTTGATAGGCTGCTGACTTGTGATGACTGATATATTTGTGAATAGACAGTCCAGTGTTAAACAGGGATGATTTGAGAAGTGGTACTTACCTAAGAATTATACCACGTATTCGAAGACCTACCCCAGAGACGCAACAATTACTACTAATAATATTTATTTAAAAAAAAATATTTTTATAAAGACTTTCCATCATAGACGAGTGAAAACGCACCAACTTGGCGTTTAAAAAAAATATTTTTATAAAGACTTTCCATCATAGACGAGTGAAAACGCACCAACTTGGCGTTTAAAAAAAATATTTTTATAAAGACTTTCCATCATAGACGAGTGAAAACGCACCAACTTGGCGTTTAAAAAAAATATTTTTATAAAGACTTTCCATCATAGACGTGTGAAAACGCACCAACTTGGCGTTTAAAAAAAATATTTTTATAAAGACTTTCCATCATAGACGAGTGAAAACGCACCAACTTGGCGTTTAAAAAAAATATTTTTATAAAGACTTTCCATCATAGACGTGTGAAAACGCACCAACTTGGCGTTTAAAAAAAATATTTTTATAAAGACTTTCCATCATAGACGAGTGAAAACGCACCAACTTGGCGTTTAAAAAAAATATTTTTATAAAGACTTTCCATCATAGACGAGTGAAAACGCACCAACTTGGCGTTTAAAAACAAAAGAAATTCGCCAAATGCATGGCGCAAAGACCGACTGGACAGAAGTGAAGATGAGCACTAGAGACTGGCCGAAAGTGATTTTTTTTTCTGGGCTTCACCAAGCCGAATGTTAAAGATGACATTTGACCGAAACCAAAAGCTTAACGAAACTTTCGGCCGAAGCCGAAATATATGGATGTTTCTATTTTTAAAAATATATATTTTTTTTTCTTTTTTAGATTATTTTGAATTTTAATAGATGAACATGTAAAATACTTTGTCTTTAAACATTTGCATTAAATAGTAATTTAAATCTGTTGAAGATGTATTTTAAAGTAGTATGTTAAGAAAAATGTGGACTGGGAATGGGGGAGGGGGCTAAATTCATGCAGAATAGACCGCTTGAACCCTTTGCTTTTAGAATATAATTACAACGCTACCTAGACGTAGTTGGTATCGATCGAAAGCTTAGACTCTGCAGTTTTAAAATTATTATGATGACTCACTAGAATCACTCAAATGTCCAAACATAAGCCTTGAAGGAAATTTTTGTTCCGCTAAATCATTACATTTTTATTTTATTTGATGAAACACGCTGACATCAATATTTTTTTTTCGTTTATCCGCATTTATCACATGTGGACTAATTTTAGATTTGACCCAGATTAAACAAAAGATGAACGAATGTTGAGCTATGTTGACTACGATAATGCAATAGTGCTACTACATAATTGTCATACGAAACAGTGATACACGCACACATGTGTTGAGCCTTATGATTTAAATTAAAGGCTATTTTATGCCTAATTTTACACATTTCAAATTAATTATTATCATTTTTTAAAAATATTACTAAAGATTTCATTTTTTCTCAGGTGGTGAAAAGGTTCTCAAAACTGCTCACAATCAAGTGGTGAAAAGGTTCTCAAAACTGCTCACAATCAAGTGGTAAAAAGGTTCTCAAAACTGCTCACGTGGAGGCAGTCAAAATCTTGCTGTCGTTTTCACCCAACAACCTTTGCAAGCAAGAATTTTTCACTCAAACGAACATACAAAAAATCAAAACAAAGATGGTAACCCCAGAGAAAGTATCCCCAAATGTTTACGAGACTGTATCAAAATGAAACATACTTTTTACACAATTGGAAATGAAGAAATTTTTAAAAAAATCCCAATGATGATTTTATTAATTTATATTATGGACTTTATTTTGTCATTTTTATATTTATAATACTATTCATCGTATAAATGGATTCCATAAACCATTTTCAATGTGAACAGTTTTTGATTCTCCAACTTTCAAATTAAGAATTACATCGGCTACTTACATCGGCTACTTACATCGGCTACTTACATCGGCTACTTACATCGGCTTAAACAAATATATTTTGGGAAAATTTCTAAAGATATTCACCAACGCTTGGCTTAAAGATTTCATTTTAAAGACGGTGACGAACTCTCTTCACCCACAACATCACTGGCGCCGTGTACATGACTAGGAACAGCTCGTAACAAAGAAGTCCAGCAACGGCAACAAACTAGACCCAGGGAAGTCACGATAAAAACCTTTGAAAAGGGACAAAAATTAAATCGTAAATGGCTGAAGCACGAATTGGAGTAGAGCAAGGGTCTCCAAAATTTTAAGCCAGAGGGCCACATTAACTATCAAACAGCAGTTCGTTGGCCAACTACACACTTGAATTCCAAAGGGCCAATTACACACTCGAGGTAAAAAAGAATAAAAACATGGATGTATCTTTTCATTATTTATTTAATATTATTTGATTTAGTTATTATTTAATAACACATTGATGCACTACACATGAACTCCTCTATTAGTGAGAATGGAAAAGTTGTTTCCAGGATGCCAAAATAGCAGACATTTCTGGCTTTAGATTTGATGCCCTAACCTGAGATTATCATCAGACAAGTTTGTTCTCAAATTGTTCTTTACGTATTTCATTCTTGAAAATGTTTGTTCACACAGTCATGGTGTTCCAAAGGTTGAAAGGTACTTTGATGCAAAGTTTTGACATTAGGAAAGTCTTCCTTGGGCAAAAACAGGTAAAGCTCAGTTGTGTGATGTTCCTCGAATGGTAGCCTAGGGGAAGTAATAAAACAAATATATGCTAAATTTTAGTTAAATTAAGAGTTATGTAACTTTATGTCAAGCTAGACAAGTTGTCGGTAAACTGCGGCTTGGCAGACGCATGGTGCTCTTTGAATGAAAATTGCATATACATATAATTGGATACATTGAATGACCATATCGTGATACATCGATTAAGTTTGTGATTGAATGACCAGGCAGTGATTCATCGATTAAGTTTGTGATTGAATGACCAGGCAGTGATTCATCGATTAAGTTTGTGATTGAATGACCAGGCAGTGATTCATCGATTAAGTTTGTGATTGAATGACCAGGCAGTGATTCATCGATTAAGTTTGTGATTGAATGACCAGGTCGTAATACATCGATTAGGTTTGCTAATGAATTGGTCGTGTTTCATCGATTATCTTCGTGATTGAATGACCAGGCAGTGATTAATCGATTATGTTTGTGATTGAATGACCAGGTCGCGATTCATCGATTATGTTTGAAATTGAATGAACATTTTGAGGATCGAATTCTTAAGACTGGTTTGATTGTTTTAATCCTATTTTAACGACATATTAAATGTGATTGTATTGTTTAGAAATATGAATGTTTAAGTAAAGATTTTAAAGTATCTTGTTCTTCTGTGTCAATTTATTTATGATTTCGGCATTTCGACTGATAGGATCTCCATTGTATGATTGAATAATTTGTGTATGATTGCATCGAATCATTGTTATATCATTTATTCTGATGTTGTATGATTTGAGCATGTTTGTATTATATGGTCAGTATGGTAGGATTGGGTGAGATTTATGCAATACTCCGGACGTACTTGTTTAAATTGAGCACAGTTATATGACCGTGCCATGGTTGATTGAGTTATTTATAATTGTGCGGTACGGTGATTAAAATATGTGATAGAAAAATAACATGAAGATTGATCGTTCTTAATTTTAGTGGGCTGGTCACTCTAGGAGGGCTAAATGTAGGTTTTTGACAGGCTGGTCACTCTAGAGGGGCCAAATGTAGGTTTTTGACAGGCTGGTCACTCTAGGAGGTCCAAATGTAGGTTTTTGACGGGCTGGTCACTCTAGGAGGGCCAAATGTAGGTTTTTGACGGGCTGGTCACTCTAGGAGGGCCAAATGTAGGTTTTTGACGGGCTGGTCACTCTAGGAGGGCCATGTGCTGGTGATAGGCTGGTTTATTTTGGAAGGTCATATGAAGACGGTGTTTGATTGGCTAGCCCACTAGGAAAGTCATATGAAGAAGGTGTTTGATTGGCTAGCCCACTAGGAAAGTCATATGAAGACGGTGTTTGATTGGCTAGCCCACTAGGAAGGTCATATGAAGACGGTGTTTGATTGGATAGCCCACTAGGAAAGTCATATGAAGACGGTGTTTGATTGGCTAGCCCACTAGGAAGGTCATATGAAGACGGTGTTTGATTGGCTAGCCCACTAGGAAAGTCATATGAAGACGGTGTTTGATTGGCTAGTCCACTAGGAAAGTCATATGAAGACGGTGTTTGATTGACTAGCCCACTAGGAAAGTCATATGAAGACGGTGTTTTATTGGCTAGCCCACTAGGAAAGTCATATGAAGAAGGTGTTTGATTGGCTATCCCGCTAGAAAGATAAAATGCAGGCTACAGTCTACATTTAGCCCTTGCATAATTAAGTTTTAAATACACAATTTTTGAGTATAATGAAGAACCCATTAACCGAATTTCCATTAAATCCACTGATTTAAAATATTTGTAAAAGTTAAAGAACTGGTTAAAGAACCGCTGTGAACTATATTTAGAATGCGTGTAGCGGTCATCCTTGATATCTCATGATACGCACCGGCGAACGTGTGACGATGATCCGTTAGATAACAACAGAAGACGAGAAAGAATGTCACGTCAATCAGTCAGCTGATGTGTGTTGTTACCCTGGGGGATACTGTGATGTGTTCGCACCGTGTAACGTGGTGTTTTCGCAACGGACACATGTTTATAAGTTGGTAGTTAACAGTTGTTAGTTAATTCCGGTTTTTGATTTTATACCCTCGCCGTACTCAAAATCTTCTTTAAAAAGGCAACTTTTGGATACACTGTTACCTACACATATTAAAATAATATATATCCTATTTCGATAAGGTGAGTCTTGATTATTGACCTCTTTGTGACACTGTTTAGTGAAATATTTCCCCACTTTTGAAACAAGGAACTATTTCTCAACCTTAATCGTTACGATATAAATGGATACAGACAAACACAGGACCTTGGCAATCAAAAGGTGTGCCTGGGGCAAAGCCGTAAATTCGGCACCCTTTTCTAAATAAGTATATATAAATACACCTCTTTTGCAGGAACATGACAATTTGGTGCCCTCTGCAGATGGCGTCCACTGTGGGTGATAAGGGGAGATAAACACTTCGATAGAAGCGACCACCAGGGCAAGGCGGACTTTTCAATAAGTGCGATCGTGGCCAGCACGAACACCGCCAGCCGGGTCAATTTGGAACACAGGCTTATCCTGACCTACGGCACTTTGACGCCACATGGGATTAATGTTATATCTCTGTTCACATCTTGACCCTAGCTCCGCCCCTCCACGTTCTGACCTATCACAGTGTACTTTTTTCTCCTCTTTTTTTTTTCGCTCTTCCCTATTTAAACTCTCACTCACTTACCTTCTGTCACATTTCCTTTGCTGCCGACAGATACTACTTCCCAGCTAAGAGCTATTTCTTTTTTATTTTTATACCGTTTTTTTTTCTTTTGTTTTGTTCGCTGACGAAGGCTTTCTGCCGACACGTTCGCAGTTTTGTTGCATTTCTTTTTTCAGGTTTAACCCTACTCTGTTCTATTCATTTTACACTGAGATTGACCGTTTCGCCTCCACTTTGCAAGACCTTTAAAAAAGATTTGAACTTTTCTAACATATCAGCCCCCTGATTCACATGATTGTACCATGGGGGAATAAAATATAATTTTTACTCTATAACTGAACACTTTTATTTATCTGTATTGTAAATATTCGTAAATATTCGTAAATGTTCGTAAATATTCGTAAATATTCGTAAATATTCGTAAATATTCGTAAATATTCGTAAATATTCGTAAATATTCGTAAAGCTCGGCATTCGCCTGTCTCCGTGAGTCGTTGGTGTAGCTCATTCGTTCGTAGTTCTATTTTTACGAGGCCGATCCTGGAGTGGCAGTCTTGGCTGCACCATTTGCACCAGAACTTTGCCCGCTCGTTTTTTCTTTGTCCCTTTCCCGTATCTCTCTTAGCTCCGGTTTCTCATCCGCTGTTCGCCAGCCGCACGTGTCATCGTTGATTGTCTCCCCATAGCTCATTTCGCCGCCCTCAAGTCTCTGTGACGGGCTGTGACGTTTGTGTAGCTGAGTCGCAAAGATATTGCCACAAACACACCAACAAATGTGAAGTTAATGTAAAGGATTTTTAAAGTTTGTTACAAATTTATAAGCAATCTTGAGCTATGGAACATAATAGAAGACAAAAAAGGGGGAAAAAAGGGTTTGATTTGAAGCTGGAAAATAATAACAAATACAATAAATACAAAGGGTGAGAACCCATTTAATAAAAACGCAGTGGATAAACTTTAAAAATGACTTGATTACTTCCCTTTCCTCAATAATTTTGAGAGCAATTAAAAATACTAGTTAAAATTTAAAAAAAAAAGAAGAAAAAAAAAAAATTAAAAAAATAAAACGATAATGTGAAGCACACTATTTTTCCAAAGAAAAAAAAGTGAGTTGAATCTTGTATCCGTTTTTATCATGAAATCATTCAAGATACAAACCCAGAAATAATTTGTTTCGTTAACCCTGTCACTCTTCAGATCATTCTAGATAGCATTTCTTTAGCCCTGCCAAACTTCAAATTATGACACATGTCATGTTTTTAACCCTTTCAATCATCAGATCTTTCCAGATAGCATGTCTTTAACCCTTTCAATCATCAGATCTTTCCAGATGCCGTTTGACGGATTCTTCACCACCCTGGGCCTGGCGCAGGCCGTGTTCGCCCTCGTCATGTGGGTAGGGGCATTCCCGACGCGCGGATGGATCTCGGGCACGACGGTGTTGGGCATCATAACACAGGACCTGGAGGTAGGGCTGTTTAAGACGAGCAAGTCTGGCGTGATCGTGGACACTAAAGAGTACTTCAAGAGCCAATACGGTGGGTACACTCAGCGTGGGTGAGGGGAGGGGCGTGTGTGTGTGACGGGTTGGCAAAGATTGTATAATTAAGCTCATGGAAGGGCTGAAGTCTCTACAATTGATGGGAATGTGTTCGTATGCGATGAGAGAGAGAGAGAGAGAGAGAGAGAGAGAGAGATATGCAGAGAGAGAGAGAGACGGAGAGGACAGCGAGAGAGAGGGAAAGATAGAGATACAAAGAGAAACTGAGAAGGAGAAAGAGAGAAACGGACAGAGAGAAACGCACCGAGAGGCAAAGGGAGATAAACGGGAAAAAAGAAGGGGGGGGGCGGCATCTCATTGATTTAAATGACACACCCCCTTGTCCCTTAAGAATAAAAAAACAACAACATCCATATGACATGTCATACCAATGTCACACCACATCCACATGACATGTCATAACCCACATCCACATGACATGTCATACCAATGTCACACCACATCCATATGACATGTCATACTAATGACACACCACATCCACATGACATGTCATACCAATGTCAAGCCACTTCCACATGGCATGTCATACCAATGTTACACAACATTCACATGACATGTCATACCAATGTCACACAACATCCATATGACATGTCATACCAATGACACACCACCGTAACATCAAACACATTCTATCTACTGGCCAGCGACTCAGCATCAGCTTCCAATCCCATAATTCAGACATCAGGGTTAGTGTCTGTTCAACCTCACCGACGAATCTCGTTTACTTCATCGTGTGTCAGACCTGCCTCCCGAATTAAATTTCTTTGAGTAGTTAATCCTTTCTTAAAAAAAAAAAAACGTATTTAAAATAACGAAATACGTGTATTGATTTGAGGTTTTAATCACCTGCTATCAATCCGACAATAATGTAAATAACTGATTTCCCTTGTCCCCCAAAAAAAAAAAAAAAACAACAAAAAGAAACAAAAAAAACAAAACAAACAAAAAAAGAAACATTGCTCTATATCAGAGGCATAGCAAAGGGGGAAAAGTGTAGGGGGACAGATTTCCTCGGGCACCAGCTAGTTTGTCCTGTTGTTTTCTCTTTCATGAATCTTGTCCGCGGGTGCCAAACCCTCTAGCTACTCCTCTACTCCACATATCCAAACTAGCTGCATTAAACAAGTTCTAACAAACCTTCTAGCTACTCCTCTACTCCACATATCCAAGCTAGCTGCATTAAACAAGTTCTAACAAACCTTCTAGCTACTCCTCTACTCCACATATCCAAGCTAGCTGCATTAAACAAGTTCTAACAAACCCTCTAGCTACTCCTCTACTCCACATATCCAAACTAGCTGCATTAAACAAGTTCTAACAAACCCTTTAGCTACTCCTCTACTCCACATATCCAAGCTAGCTGCATTAAACAAGTTCTAACAAACCCTCTAGCTACTCCTCTACTCCACATACCCAAACTAGCTGCATTAAACAAGTTCTAACAAACCCTCTAGCTACCCCTCTACTCCACATATCCAAGCTAGCTGCATTAAACAAGTTCTAACAAACCCTCTAGCTACTCCTCTACTCCACATATCCAAGCTAGCTGCATTAAACAAGTTCTAACAAACCCTCTAGCTACTCCTCTACTCCACATATCCAAACTAGCTGCATTAAACAAGTTCTAACAAACCCTATAGCTACTCCTCTACTCCACATATCCAAACTAGCTGCATTAAACAAGTTCTAACAAACCCTCTAGCTACTCCTCTACTCCACATATCCAAACTAGCTGCATTAAACAAGTTCTAACAAACCCTCTAGCTACTCCTCTACTCCACATATCCAAACTAGCTGCATTAAACAAGTTCTAACAAACCTTCTAGCTACTCCTCTACTCCACATATCCAAACTAGCTGCATTAAACAAGTTCTAACAAACCTTCTAGCTACTCCTCTACTCCACATATCCAAACTAGCTGCATTAAACAAGTTCTAACAAACCCTCTAGCTACTCCTCTACTCCACATATCCAAACTAGCTGCATTAAACAAGTTCTAACAAACCTTCTAGCTACTCCTCTACTCCACATATCCAAACTAGCTGCATTAAACAAGTTCTAACAAACCTTCTAGCTACTCCTCTACTCCACATATCCAAACTAGCTGCATTAAACAAGTTCTAACAAACCCTCTAGCTACTCCTCTACTCCACATATCCAAACTAGCTGCATTAAACAAGTTCTAATAAACCTTCTAGCTACTCCTCTACTCCACATATCCAAACTAGCTGCATTAAACAAGTTCTAACAAACCTTCTAGCTACTCCTCTACTCCACATATCCAAACTAGCTGCATTAAACAAGTTCTAACAAACCTTCTAGCTACTCCTCTACTCCACATATCCAAACTAGCTGCATTAAACAAGTTCTAACAAACCCTCTAGCTACTCCTCTACTCCACATATCCAAACTAGCTGCATTAAACAAGTTCTAACAAACCCTCTAGCTACTCCTCTACTCCACATATCCAAACTAGCTGCATTAAACAAGTTCTAACAAACCATCTAGCTACTCCTCTACTCCACATATCCAAACTAGCTGCATTAAACAAGTTCTAACAAACCTTCTAGCTACTCCTCTACTCCACATATCCAAACTAGCTGCATTAAACAAGTTCTAACAAACCCTCTAGCTACTCCTCTACTCCACATATCCAAACTAGCTGCATTAAACAAGTTCTAACAAACCCTCTAGCTACTCCTCTACTCCACATATCCAAACTAGCTGCATTAAACAAGTTCTAACAAACCATCTAGCTACTCCTCTACTCCACATATCCAAACTAGCTGCATTAAACAAGTTCTAACAAACCCTCTAGCTACTCCTCTACTCCACATATCCAAACTAGCTGCATTAAACAAGTTCTAACAAACCCTTTAGCTACTCCTCTACTCCACATATCCAAACTAGCTGCATTAAACAAGTTCTAACAAACCCTTTAGCTACTCCTCTACTCCACATATCCAAACTAGCTGCATTAAACAAGTTCTAACAAACCCTTTAGCTACTCCTCTACTCCACATATCCAAACTAGCTGCATTAAACAAGTTCTAACAAACCCTTTAGCTACTCCTCTACTCCACATATCCAAACTAGCTGCATTAAACAAGTTCTAACAAACCCTTTAGCTACTCCTCTACTCCACATATCCAAACTAGCTGCATTAAACAAGTTCTAACAAACCCTTTAGCTACTCCTCTACTCCACATATCCAAACTAGCTGCATTAAACAAGTTCTAACAAACCCTCTAGCTACTCCTCTACTCCACATATCCAAACTAGCTGCATTAAACAAGTTCTAACAAACCCTCTAGCTACTCCTCTACTCCACATATCCAAACTAGCTGCATTAAACAAGTTCTAACAAACCATCTAGCTACTCCTCTACTCCACATATCCAAACTAGCTGCATTAAACAAGTTCTAACAAACCCTCTAGCTACTCCTCTACTCCACATATCCAAACTAGCTGCATTAAACAAGTTCTAACAAACCCTATAGCTACTCCTCTACTCCACATATCCAAGCTAGCTGCATTAAACAAGTTCTAACAAACCCTATAGCTACTCCTCTACTCCACATATCCAAGCTAGCTGCATTAAACAAGTTCTAACAAACCCTCTAGCTACTCCTCTACTCCACATATCCAAGCTAGCTGCATTAAACAAGTTCTAACAAACCCTCTAGCTACTCCTCTACTCCACATATCCAAACTAGCTGCATTAAACAAGTTCTAATAAACCCTCTAGCTACTCCTCTACTCCACATATCCAAACTAGCTGCATTAAACAAGTTCTAAACAAGCAGAAATGAAAAAGGTGCGTCAATGGCAAATCACATTTGAAAAACATATTATATGTTTCTATGTGTGTTTTGGTTACCTTATGTGGGTCCCAGCCTCTTAATGAAAAAAGAAGACAACAGAACAATCAGATGTTTCAACACGGAAGGTGAAATACAGGGACACATCTTATCCGGCTAATTCACCAACAGATAACTGTTCATAAAGAAGAAAAAAAAGAAAAAAACCCTAGAGAAATGATTAAGTTGTAAATCTTACTTTGCAACTGCGGTTACAAAAGGCCTCCCAACTCCCAATAAAATAAAAAAAAATTGAAAAATACTATATCGTTAACCTCTCTCAAATTTCTTCTGACAGACAGCATTGAGGCCACCATTATCACCCTGAGTCTGGGGGGCATGTTCCTGCTGACGGCTATCGGGCTCTTATGCTGGTACTTCTACACACCCGCTGCGAGAAAACTCGGCCTGGCCTACGTCATGTGTGCTATGATGGCAGGTTGGTTGGTGGAAATCTTCGGCGATTTTTGTATGATTGCAGATCTGTTGACGGGCATCATTTGCGACTTTGTATGTTGATAGGTTGATCGGTGGGTATCTTAGGCGACTTTGTATGTTGATAGGTTGGTCGGTGGGTATCTTAGGCATCTTGGTACATTAGCAAGTTGTTTGGAAGGTAGATTTGGAGGTAGTTTGGAAGGTAGGTTTGAAGGTAGGTTGGAAGGTAGGTTGGAAGGTAGTTTGGAAGGTAGATTGGAAGGTAGGTTGGAAGGTAGATTGGAAGGTAGGTTGGAAGGTAGGTTGGAAGGTAGATTTGGAGGTAGTTTGGAAGGTAGATTGGAAGGTAGGTTGGAAGGTCGATTTGGAGGTAGTTTGGAAGGTAGATTGGAAGGTAGTTTGGAAGGTAGATTGGAAGTTAGATTGGAAGGTAGGTTGGAAGGTAGATTGGAAGGTAGGTTGGAAGGTAGATTGGAAGGTAGGTTGAAAGGTAGGTTGGAAGGTAGGTTGGAAGGTAGGTTGGAAGGTAGGCTGGAAGGTAGGTTGGAAGGTCGATTTGGAGGTAGTTTGGAAGGTAGGTTGGAAGGTAGGTTGGAAGGTAGGTTGGAAGGTAGGTTGGAAGGTAGGTTGGAAGGTAGGTTGGAAGGTAGGTTGGAAGGTAGATTGGAAGGTAGGTTGTTGCGTTGTTGGTGGTTTTTGTATCTGAGTGTGTTGGTTGGGTATTTTGATGCTAGGTGTGTTGGGGTTAGTTGGGGAGTTGTTGGTTGGATAAACCAATAGATACAGAGGGACTTAGATACGACTAGTCAACCTGGGGTTGTGGCTCATCCAGTCAACCTGGGATGGTGGCTCATCCAGTCAACCTGGGATAGTGGCTCATTGGAGACAATGAAACCTTTAAATTCAAAGCCGGACATTGTACTCATAAAAAATTGAAGCAACCCCTGTTTCAGCTCTGGATGTTATTTCGGACACAACAGCTGTTTACTAGAAAACAGCTGATTCTCCATGAAAAAAACCTCGCCCTGCTCTCCTAGGGGTGTAGTGCTTTCCAAACTGTTTGTCACGATACACGAGTAGAAATTAGTTAGACAAACTTATCGGAAATATGGCGCAAGTTGTAACTTACATCAAATTTGACAATTTCACCAATTATTTTGCTCAACTTTTTGAAGAAATTTGGTCAAAATGTAAAAAAAAACATTAAAATAAGAAATTAATTAGTAACAATTAATTTTTTAACATATTAAAGAAAAATAATTTACTTTTTCCTCATCATTAAAAATTGTCCAACTTTTTGCACCCCTCCCTTATTTTGAGGACGCCCCTGAAAAGTTGAATCTTAGACTGTGATTGGATGGAGTTTATTTCAACAGAGTGATGTTCACCATTCTCTTACTCAAGAAGATGGAAATGGTTTGACAAAAGCAATGGTGGGAATCTGTTACAATGGTGTATGTAGGAGGTTGACTTAGCTGTTGGATTTGTGTTTCAAAAGTTTCATCCAAAGCATAAGTGAACGATTTTCCTCTTATTCTCCTTCTATAGTTTGAGGACCCACGATCAATGCATTGATCATTCTGGCTCCTATGTTTCAGAGGGGTTAGCGATGTTACTGTGGATGGGTTTTCAAGGGGATACTTCACTGGTTTCAAGGGCCACTCAGCAAGGGTTTTATGAACTGGGTTTGGAAGACAAGAGGCAAAAGCTGCAAGTGTGTCAAGTGCAGTCGCGTCAAACTGCTGCTTTTGGAAGCAATGTTGTGTCACCATGTCTTGTGATCAATTAACTGTGTGGCCAGTTTGTCATGATTGGGCAGAAGTGACTCAATGCGTCGTGGAATAATGTGTCTCTGACATGTGTCTCTGACATGTGTCTCGCCAACATTACACGCTTGGAAAACACCGAGTCGATACCTTCAAAATGACACCGTTCTATCTAGCTTTACATATTATCAATATATAATTATCCTAATACTTTGACATACATATTTCAGGACCAATTGGTTTAAAAATTATTTTTTTGCTAAACAGCGACGTCATCATATGGGTTTCCCGTTAAGCTATTTATGTATAATAACGCACGGTATGATGTCATCAATGACGTCATGAACATTGTCTACTCTCACAGGCGTGTTCCTGATGGCCGGCGTCGTGATATTTGAGACCAGCTTCGACGACGTCAACTACATCGTGGGCTACAGCTGGTACCTGGCGTTGTTCTCCGGCCTCCTCAGCTGGTCGTCCTTCGTGACGTTCATCACAGGGGTCAAGCGAGGGGAGAGAGACCCCCACGGAACGCCGGTTAGGGGAGGAAATCAAAGAAAGGGGGATCGCACCCCACTCCTGCCATAACGTTTTGATGGCTTCCCCAACGTATTTGTACATTGTACACACTAGATAGGACATTGGTTTCCCCAACGTATTTGTACATTGTACACACTAGATAGGACATTGGCTTTCCCAACATATTTGTACATTGTACACACTAGATAGGACATTGGTTTCCCCAACGTATTTGTATATTGTACACTCTAGATAGGACATTGGTTTCCCCAACGTATTTGTACATACTGCATTGAACACTGGAAGGATACAAATAAAATTTAAAAAATATAATATAATTAAACAATAGAACTGAATACACTAGATAGGACATTGGTTTTCCCAACATATTTGTACATTGTACACACTAGATAGGACATTGGTTTCCCCAACGTATTTGTACATTGTACACACTAGATAGGACATTGGTTTCCCCAACGTATTTGTATATTGTACACACTAGATAGGACATTGGTTTCCCCAACGTATTTGTATATTGTACACACTAGATAGGACATTGGTTTCCCCAACGTATTTGTACATTGTACACACTAGATAGGACATTGGTTTCCCAAACGTATTTGTATATTGTACACACTAGATAGGACATTGGTTTCCCCAACGTATTTGTATATTGTACACACTAGATAGGACATTGGTTTCCCCAACGTATTTGTACATACTGCATTGAACACTGGAAGGATACAAATACAATTTAAAAAAATATAATATAATTAAACAATAGAACTGAAATAAAACGAAACTAACTAAAATTTGATTTAAATTATTGTTCATTTACTCAGAGTGTGCTTGTGTGTGGTGAGCGAGAGAGAGAGAGAGAGAGAGAGAGAGAGAGAGCGAGGAGGGTGAGAGAGAGAACGAGAGAGAGATAGGAAAAGTGGGAGAAATAAAAAAAAAATAAAAAAATAAAAGAGAGAGAGAGAGAGAAAAGGAGGGAGAGAGAGGGGGGAGGAGAGATTGAGAGAGAGAAGAGAGAGAGAGAGAGAGAGAGAGCGAGGAGGGTGAGAGAGAGAACGAGAGAGAGAGAGGAAAAGTTGGAGAAATAAAAAAAAAATAAAAAAATAAAAGAGAGAGAGAGAGAGAAACGTAGGGAGAGACAGGGGGTAGGAGAGATTCAGAGAGAGAAGAGAGAGAGACAGAGAGAAACGTATAAAAATAAAAAATAAAAAAATATAATATAAAAAAACAATAGAAAAGAAATAAAAAGAAAATAACTAAAATTTGATTTAAATTATTGTGTATTTATTCAGAGTGTGCTTGTGTGTGGGGAGAGAGAGAGAGAGAGAGAGAGAGAGAGAGAGAGCGAGGAGGGTGAGAGAGAGAACGAGAGAGAGATAGGAAAAGTTGGAGAAATAAAAAAAAAATAAAAAAATAAAAGAGAGAGAGAGAGAGAAACGTAGGGAGAGACAGGGGGTAGGAGAGATTCAGAGAGAGAAGAGAGAGAGACAGAGAGAAACGTAGGGAGAGACAGGGGGGTAGGAGAGATTCAGAGAGAGAAGAGAGAGAGAGAGAGATCGAGAGACAGAGGGAAATGAGATACAATAAAGAGTTAGTGAGGTAGAGTTTATACCGTCCTCATACAGTGGCATAGAGAGAGATTCGAATGAATGAATTCCTTTATTTTGCGCTCTAAACAGTTTGTCATTTAATGGCAGAAATCTATTAATGGAACATCCGGGCGTCCAGCCTGGCCAATGTCATTAAGATATTAATAAAACATCCTGGTATTCCGTTCGGCCATTCTCTCAACTGCTGTTCGGTGCTGCTATGTTAATTTGAACCTTGACCTGGACTAAAAACGTGTTTAAATCTTTATTTTACGAAAGATTTTACAAACTGCTGTACATGTACGGAAATACATTGCTAGAAGCTGTGTTTTACGAAAACACTTATCCCAATATGACCGAATCTTCTTACTTAAATATTGACGTAAAAACTATCACCATTCGTCTCCATCTTTGCTGTTCTCTCATTTATTAGCTTTAACCAAGTCCCGATGCTCTATACATTCTTAAGTAATAATTCTCACATTACTTAACTTCCTTGTATTCATTAGCACATATCTGTGCTATCATTAACCACAATCTAGTTATGAATTATAACTTATAACATAACAGGGGCTTAATGGATCAAATGAGTGACAATGACTTTATGACGCCCTTAATGCACGTTCACAATAATACTATAGTTAATGTGAAATAGGTCAATCTCTCAAGCCGAACTTGCTAAATCCACAAAATACTTGTAATGTAGCTTCTCAACTCATGGGCAACTTCTGTAACTAACGTTATCAAACTGTGACCAAATCTTTTGACATAAATACTAACGTAAAATCGTCCCACAGAGTAAACAGAAAACAAAAGGTTGCATTTAAAAGTATTTCTTTTATTGTTTTTTTAATAAAATCTTCTGTCATACTCACTCATTTATGAGTGGCGTTCCTTCATTGCTTACTTATCTTTTACTTCGATAGTATTGGTATTGGTGCTAAATGAATTGTTCATGTCCGAAATTGTCTGTGTGCACTGTTTTCTATATTTACGATGGTGTGTGCACTGTTTTCTATATTTACGATGGTCTGTGTGCACTGTTTTGTATATTTAAGATTGTCTATGTGCACTGTTTTCTATATTTACGTTGGTCTATGTGCAATGTTTTCTATATTTACATTGGTCTATGTGCAATGTTGTCTATATTTACGATTGTCTTTGTGCACTGTTTTCTATATTTACGAGTATCTGTGTGCACTGTTTTCTATATTTACGAGTATCTGTGTGCACTGTTTTCTATATTTACGAGTATCTGTGTGCACTGTTTTCTATATTTACGAGTATCTGTGTGCACTGTTTTCTATATTTACGATGGTCTGTTTGCACTGTTTTCTATATTTACGATGGTCTGTGTGCACTGTTTTCTATATTTACGATGGTCTTTGTGCACTGTTTTCTATATTAACGATGATCTGTGTGCACTGTTTTCTATATTTACGATGGTCTTTGTTCACTGTTTTCTATATTAACGATGGCCTGTTTGCACTGTTTTCTATATTTATGATGGTCTATGTGCATTGTTTTCTATATTTATGATGGTCTATGTGCATTATTTTCTATATTTGCGATGGTCTATGTGCATTGTTTTCTATATTTATGATGGTCTATGTGGATTGTTTTCTATATTTATGATGGTCTATGTGCATTGTTTTCTATATTTGCGATGGTCTATGTGCATTGTTTTCTATATTTATGATGGTCTATGTGCATTGTTTTCTATATTTGCGATGGTCTATGTGCATTGTTTTCTATATTTACGATGGTCTATGTGCATTGTTTTCTATATTTGCGATGGTCTATGTGCATTGTTTTCTATATTTGCGATGGTCTATGTGCATTGTTTTCTATATTTACGATGGTCTATGTGCATTGTTTTCTATATTTGCGATGGTCTATGTGCATTGTTTTCTATATTTGCGATGGTCTATTTAAGGGAACATAAATTATTATTTTGCGAATATTCTAATGAAGGCGCCATAATCGACAGTGTGTTTTCTGAAGCGTAATTTTTTTTGAAGATTCAAGTTGTTAGGATAGCTTAAAATTGAAGACATACCCGATCAAATGAGTGGACAACTTAAACAGACTTTCAAGTACCGTATTTATTGGCGTATAACAAGTCCCCCCCTACCTCCCTCCCCCCCCCACCCCCGCGTATAATACGCACCTCAACTTAAGAAGGAAATTTCAGGAAATAAACTAACCATTACATTGGCGCGTCATACGCACACGTGATTTGCCCGCTATTCTCAGGGAGAAAAAGTGCATGTTATACGCCAATAAATACGGTAATTAAGAAATGTGTAAAAGACAAAAAATGCCTGCAGTAGGTTGAGTGAAAGATACAAAGTAATAAACAACTAAAACTCTACATTCAGTGAGGAAAGGGTTAGATTAAACCTTTGCTAGAATCATTTATACCAGACTCAGGAGGCATCCAGTCCATGGCACTTCGGTTGGGTTTACTCTAGCGTTCACTCCAGATGTGAGTGACATGAGAGCTGAATCCCTGAAATGGAGGGGCTCCGTTTGCTGTATTCCCTGAATTAATAGACATGATTAACGAAGAATTTGATTTGAAGATGAACTTGGACGCTAAAACAATACTAGGCGTCCCAGAATCAGCACATTTTTTATTTTTCTGGTGGTGAACGTTTCGTAGGAGGGACGACGTTCGCGTTATCCCTTGAACCGTACAAGTCTAGCGCTTTTTCTGTTGACATTCTTCGTTTGGGATACAAGTTTAAAAAAATAAACATTGAATGAATTTTCATTTTTCTCATTTTTCTCATTTTTCACTCGAAAACGTAAAAAAACAACAGATCTTTGTTGAAATAATTTCAGTTTTAAACAAACTTCCGTTCGAACAACAATACTAACTACCTAGTTCGGTACAACATTATATGGTACAGTTTGGTTTCGAGAGTATAAGATTCGTTATAATTTCCAGAAATTACGTTACGCCTTTTTTTATTATTTCCGTAAGCCTCTCATTGAATCACTTCTCAAATGTACATATCTAGTTAGTCATGTGGAACCACGAATTAATTTATATCGTTATGAATAATACCCCAGTCGACTTGGGTGACTGATTTTGACTGATTTTAACATCGATATTTACAATGATAAATACGTTTCACACAATCTGAAGATACTTGACTTGGAATCAGTGGCGTAGCTAGAGTTGGTGTCACCCGGTGCGGTGAACTCATGGTGTCACCCGATGCGGTGAACTCATGGTGTCAACCGGTGCGGTGAACTCATGGTGTCACCCGGTGTGGTGAACTCATTGTGTCACCCGGTGCGGTGAACTCATGGTGTCACCCGGTGCGGTGAACTCATGGTGTCACCCGGTGCGGTGAATTCATGGTGTCACCCGGTGCGGTGAACTCATGGTGCCACCCGGTGCGGTGAACTCATGGTGTCACCCGGTGCGGTGAACTCATGGTGTCACCCGGGGCGGTGAACTCATTGTGTCACCCGGTGCGGTAAAATCATTGTGTCACCACCCCCACCCCCTCACTCCCTCGACTTCCACAACTGATTTCTTTTTTGTTAAAATAAGTCCACAGTATAACATGGACAAGAGCAAACACAAATGAGATGAAGATCATGAGGTGAATGTATCTAAGAATTGTAACAACGGTAATTAAATGTATATTGAATTGTATTTAACGGACTAAACTGAATCATATGCGTCTCCATTAACCGACATTTTACTTATTAAAATGATCTTCTTTAAACATATATCCCAGCCGTGGGACACTGCTTCTATGCAAATATGGTCGAGATTTCACACATGTCACCGTGAACTAGAGCGTTTGAGCTTCTCATTCAGAGCAATTCAAACAGTGTGCTGGTTCTTCACACATGTCACC